ATCGAGGTTTGCTATAGATTTATATTCATGCTTCTTGTGTTTGTGTGGAGGTACTGGTTCATATAATAATAGGATATAGAATGGAAGTACAAATTGGGATCATAAGTTTGTACTGCATTTTACTGTGCTTAAACTTTATGTTCTAGCATATCTTCGAAGTAATTGTATCTATTGGTAATTATGCAATTATTGTGATAAATTATTATTAGTTTTTTTTAGATAAGCCGGCAAATTGGATAAGACGGATCACCTGATGGTAAGCAATATTATGTCCTATGTGTCTTATGCCCGCCCTTGGGCACCAGGACATCAAAGGCTTTACAAGTGTGTTAACGGTCTTTTGGTGATTAGGAATTTGAAGAATGTTGGGGATTCAGGGATTAAGGAGATAGGGGAAGGATAGTTTGGCCACCGGTAACCTCACTCACACGACGAAACATAACGCAAGCGTTGTTTCACGTCGGTTTTCTGCTCGGTCGTGGTATCACTCCGGTCGAGCTGGTACATTCGTGCTAAAGCATGGCTCTCGTACACTTACAGGTGTTTGCAAATATCTCAGTTACAGGTCTGAGTTTGGTACTTGCCTAGTCAACGTTACCAAGGACATGATCGATTAATGGAACTTGTAACATAACTGGAGGAAAGTGGATGTATAGCTATGTTATATTTAGCTTACTAGCACTTATTTTTCATATTATATTCTCGACTTCTCTCACTGTAGACAAGCATAACTTAAATTCTACTAAAATGTGAAAGTACAGAGATAAGCTCTACTAGTTTCGAACCACAGAGGGGTTCTTCCTCTTGAACAGCGTGCGCGGTCGCGGCGATATCATGCAGCCTACAGTAGGTAGTAGGTAGGTACTTTCAAGTGAGTAACCCGCGATTTTTAGTTAATTTAGTATGTCTCATGATAGTTATTATAAAAACATTTAAAATTATCCTTCAATCATATAAGACCACCATAAAACAAATTTGCACTATCTAAACCTCTAATCAGTTAGTTACAAAATCTTTGAACTTTACCTTTAGACACCAAATATGTCAAAAAAATATAATTAAAAAGCTATAAAATAACAAAAACTGATCAGTGACCTTCTGTGCGAAGGAATAGAGTTCGCCACATGCATATTAATCATCAGAAATGATTCTGAACAATGGATGATTTTTATAGTTAACAACTAAAATGATAATAAAATAATAATTTATAGACAAAGTTACATCAATAAAGAGTTTCGTTTGTATTAGCATAATGTTTGATGTGTTTTATTGGGTTAGTTTGTTTAGTAGTTGTTGAAATGATTTGACTAATTTCATGTTGGTAATTGAAGGCTCCTAGCTGCACTGACAGACAGAGGGACGAACAGTTCAATTTTTGACGCTTCAAAAGTGCCTTTTAAGCATAATTGTCATAAATACTTTTACTTTGACTTTGAATTTGGTAAGTTCGATTTTTTATGTAACAACCGTGAAAGCTTAATTTACAGCATCTTAAACATTTAATATTTATACTAATTAGTCATAAATTCACATCCTTACATAACATAAGATCACACGTTTTATCCCCGGAGTGGTAGGCAGAGATGCACATTGCGGCACTTAATGCCACTGTACAATGTTTCACTATTTATGTTATGAGTGCTATGTAATAGGGGGTGAGCCTATTGCCATATACACGCATCCTTACACTTCACATCCTTATTTTTAACCAACTTTAAAAAAAGGAGGAGGAACACACCCACTGATAGGTTAGAAGTCGGTGCCACAAACCCACAACAAAATAGTTAATGGACAAAGTTGGTATAATGCGTAATAAAATTGTAAACAGCTTAATAATGTTAGGTATCTATTAAGGTTTTAATAAATAATTTTGTTTAAAACTTGTGGCACCGACTTCTAACCTATCAGTGGGCGTGTAAGCTATAAGTACGTATGACCAATAATAGTTAATTTTTTCCTTTTTAGTTTTTACTTTTCGTTAGTCATTCGTTTTTGAAGTCGGTTTTTTAAACGCAGTTTTTTAATTTTATAATCATTTTAACACTGAAAATCTCCATAATACTTTCAAGAATCAAATAAAATTGAAGAATCTATCACAAAAACATGCTACGACCGCCAATATCTATTTAGCAATTAATATCTAACAATCCTGGGAACACGTATTTCATGTCCCAACTTGATATTATCCTTCAAAAACTGGCTAAGTGCGAGTCCAACTCGCATACGTAGAGAAGGGTTCTGTATCATTATTACCTATAACTAAAGGCAAAAATACATTTTACTTTAAGGTGCCCCGCATCATCAAAAATTAAACATCCACTAACAAACCATTGCTAGACCCTAGCACCTCCTCAAGAACATAATAAGATTTTATAACATAACATCACGTGTTTTATTCCCGAAGGGGTAGGCAGAGGTGCACACAGAAGTAACACCCACTTTTCACTATTTATGTTATATGTGCCATATAATAGGTGGTGAGCTTATTGCCATATACCGGGCATATTTCCAGACCCCGTGCTACTACTGAGATTTTTCTTTAAAAACCCATTAATACTTTGTCCGACCCGGGAATCGAACCCGAGACCCATTGCCAGGTAGTCGTACTTGCGACCACTCGGCCATCGAGGCAGTCAGTAATGAGATTTTATAATTATTATAATCCTTTAGCAGGCGAGTTAAAGATCACAGTTTAAAAGGTTAAGATTCATCAAAGTGTTGCAGCCCAGTCTCTGTCAAATGGGTAGACAGAAGTTGTCGTTAATGAAACCCACACATTTACCCTTAATAGACGATGTATTTTACTCCACAGTCACAACATAGCTTATTCTACTCCCTCTGAAGCCTAAAAACTTTATGTTATAAGGAAAATTTTCACAATAACTTTGTAAAGTAACATTCTGGGTACAAAAGGGCACAATATACGGACGGGGATACAAAAGAAACTAATATGGAATGCTATCAAAATTATGTGCGGGCCATTTTATGTGCTACAATTGTAAAGTTTTTATCGTAAAACTGTTGTTTTTCTGTACCTTATTCTAAGATTAGATAGGTTTTATTGTAAAAGGTACTGTGGATGATTGTATTTAGAGTTGGTTTTATAGTTTAAAATGTAACCTAGGGTTCTATTTAACTCGTCGAGTACCGGTTTTGTAGACACAATTATAGAACAATAGGTTGCGGTCACCGGTGACCGCTTGGTGTTTGACAGTTTAAGCTAGATATTATTCTTTCTTCGTCAAGTATTTTAATAAGTCATGATAAATGATATCAGTACATATTTATTTGTCAGAACGACGTTTTTTTATGGTATAAGCCGGTAAACGATCAGACGGATCCTAATGGTAAGCAATCGGCGTCGCCCATGGACACCGGGAACACCAGAGGCGTTACAAGTGCGTTACCGGCGTTTTGGGGATTAGGAATTTAAGGATTCAGGGATTGGGGAAAGGGTTTGGATAATTGGGCCTCCGGTAACCTCAGTCACACAACGAAACACAACGCAAGTTGTTTCACGTCGGTCTTCTGTAAACAGTCTATGAACGGCGATAGTTCCACTGGATGCAGGTCGTTTCCAACTCCATAATAACTGCTTATATTTACTAGCAGTTTACTAAGGAGGCACTAACACATTCTAATCTCCACAAAACTAACCACAGATGTACTAAACAACCGTCCAACAAGGAAATAACAACAACAAACAATTAACACTTGTCTTCTAAACAACTTCCAGGTTAGCTCGCTAACTACTCTCTTTCAGTCTAGACTACACCAAAACAATAATAGTCTAGGTCTAGAGAAACATTATCTAATAGTAGTTATGCAAATGACACCATTTTAACTCGAAACGGTCTTATTCAATGGCCTTTCGATCTTCAAAAGTCGTTGAAAATAATTCTGGTCCTATTTTGAATTCTGAATTGTAATTGGCTGTTGATGAAAGGGTTAAGGGTTAATTTAAAGTAAGGTTTTTTTACCCGACTGCCAAAGAAGGAGGGTAATGTTTTTTTAATAAACGTTGCCCAACACTAGGGTTTTCTCCTGTGCGGTGCGTTTACAAACATACAAGTTCACATACACATCACACCCCAGACCCGGAACAATCTGTGGATCACACTAAGAGTTGTTCCGTGCGGGAATCGAACCCGCGACACGTTGCGCGGCAGTCAGTTTCCCAACCAACGCGCCAACAGTGCAATACAATTTTCTTATTTTAAATATTATTTCTTATTTTAATCAGGTGTTAATTTATAGGATAGAATTTGTAATAGAACACATTTTTAAACTTGAACAGTCACCAAGTATGAGGTGAAGGTGCGCGTAAAAATTATAAGTGACTGTTCCTATGTAACAAGAACAACCATGTATCCTCTTATACATGGTTGCTCTTGTTACTGTTTTCTGTCCATCTACATATATGTATATTGATAAAAAGCTGTGTTAATGGTAACCTACTGGCTGGTGATCCAACATTTGCCAGTCAGCAAATTTGGAGCTTTATTAAAATGAACAAATGGATTACTGAGGTTATCTTCAATTTATGTTTATAAAGAATACCAATAAATTTGGTATCAGCCAGCTAACTATACCTGTTGAATACACAACACAATTAAAGTAACTTGTAACTACAACTTCATAAAATAACAAAACAGTCAAACAAACAAATCTTAGAGCAAAAAACCAAATAAAAACAAAAATTGTTAAAATGGACACGAAAAGCCAATAAAACTTGAAACAGCGAAACTTATGTAAATTCAGCAACCGCTATGAATAAACCTTAAGAAAATAACTATAAAATACATTTTCCAACGAAATTGCCTTTAAACATCCTCAGCATAAGAATAATGTAAGGACTTTGCAAGGACCAAAATAGTTGTAACACCTGACGTGTGTATCACTACGCATGCGTGAAAACTTCGCCCGCCTTCTTTCGTAGTTGTGTGTCAGTGTCGTATGGGCTCCGCCGCGTATCAACCGTGTGGCGTATCAATCGTCAGTTCCCCGCGTATCAATAGTACGAATCGTAGTGTCGTGATTTCGGATGATAGTGGAGTTTGATTGATTGAGTGATGTGTGATGAGTGAAAAAGGTAAGTTGTAATTTATTATTTGTTTCCTAATTCATAAAGTTTATATTTGTTTGTTTTCGTCTGATTATTATTGTTGATAGAATAATTTGTTATTAAATTCGAAGGCGCCTTTTTAATTGTTCAGTGTATCATGAGCGCCCATGTTTTAACGATGTTCTAACTTTACTGTTGTTGTTCGTTAATTTTAGGGATGAATAAAATAATTGTTATTCATAGCATTGGGTATACAATTATATTGTTAACTTCAGAATGTTATTCAAAATGAACGAACAGTTAAAATATTTTGTTATTTGGAAGGTTGTTATTCTATTTATTTACGTTTTTTAATGTAAGTAGGTTTACACTTTTCACTGATTTCCTCTACAACACGTTTTCGATAATGAAAGGTAATTTTATCTTATACTGAAGTTGGTATAAATAATACAAACTACCTATACTTTGAAAGCGATAAGAATGGATGCCTTGGCTGTAAAAATGATGGGTAGAACTTAGGCACAATTTCAATTGAATCAAAGACTAATTTGTTCTTCTTATTTGTCTTGTTTCTTTGGTCACCTCTTACTTGTATCTAACCACCGTACTCAGATGCATTCAATGCTCAATTAATTCAATACTTAAGCATGGTTTTCAGGAAAAATATGTTGCAGTAAAATCACAAATAAAATGTCACGAAACAATACCTCTAATTAAATAAATTAAAACTAAGTATTTAAAGCCAATAAAGAACATGTCAATCATCATTGTTCAGATACGTTTGCAACAAAATGGTGTCCGAATTTAAATTTGAAAATGGAAAATAGAATATTAATATTCATTTTATAAACGGTTGACATGGGCTTTGTGGTTAGTCTAGCATTTTGACGCGGGCCTATGTAAATTTGAAAAAAGAATACAATTTGTATCAAAAGAAATTTTCTATTGAACGGAAAATATTGCTTCTTTAGAAAAGTTTAAGGAAAATTAAATATCTTTTCCTCGTTTTTGTTTCGAGTATATTTTTTATTATTCCAACCACGTAATTTAAATGTCAGAATTTATAACAGAGCTACTGTCACTGAATTAGAATTCAGTACAGTCGACACTTGATATGAATAAAATTGTAAATTAGGAACAATATTTTATAGAAATAACATTTTTATTTTGTCTGCCCTGAGTGATCGTAGGTGCTACCCTCTATGGTCTATTAGGAGGCTTAAATTGTACGCTGTGTATGATGTGTGTGCTCAATTACTTTAGAAAATATTATGTTTCTATTTTAAAATAGATTATGTATTTTTTTTCTAACTTAGGTATGTATGATTTCTGTAATGGTGAGCATTAATTTTTACTACTGACTCCGCACTGGTATATGCTTTGTGCCATTACTGAGAACTCTCTCAGAGTGATACCACGGCATCACAAAAATCGACGTGAAACAACGCTTGCGTTGTGTTTCGTCGTTTGAGTGATGTTACCCTTCTCCAATTTCCCCCTAAATCTCCAACAATCCTTAAATTCCTAATCCCCAAAAGGCCGGTAACCCACTTGTAACGCCTCTGGTGTTCCAGGTGTCCATGGGCGACGCCAATTGCTTACCATCAGGTGATAAATCTGCTCGATTACCGGCTTACCCCAAAAAAAAAAAACCAAGAAAAATACCAAAACCTGAATCTCATACTCTTTTTTTCAAACTAAATTTACTTCACATACCTATTAATAATTATGTGGTTAGTCAATCTGAACCCTGATACTTGGCTGTCAAGCCCTGACACCAGATTATTGATTGACATTCAATTTAGTTCATTATCAAGGTCGTACATATTCATTTACACAAACAAGCACTTACTGAATGTACTCTTCAATGGTAATTCAATGGTCTAGTCATGCAATTGTTTGATGGCTTATTTAAAAAAATAACTTTTGGTTAAAATATTTTCGTGGAAGTTGGCGCGCCAATGATACATTTGATATTGTAGAACAAAAATGGCTACTTGATTGTAGACGTACCTCAAGTTTGTTTGCTTTCTTACTGATAGCAAAATGTGAAAAAAAAACATTATAATTATTATGCTGCTATGGTATGGAATACATATAGGATGTTCCCTTTGTCAGCCTAACTCCAAGGATGCGTATAACTGAATTAACATTTGTGTATAGTTTATTAATTGTAGTTAAATAATTCATTAGATTTATAAGCTTATAAGATCCGATGGGACTGACATGTACCTACATCTGTAAAAAAGTCCCTAAATAAAAAAAGAAAAATATTAAATGTTCCCGTATGGGTTAGTTTATGATATAATTTTGAACTTACTATGTAACCAGCAGCTGTAGCCAAATGCCATTTAGCGCTTGTCTACATGTAGAATAGAAAACCAAATTATATGGGATTGACGTAAATTTTGACTTGTCAGTGTCGTCCCCATACATTTTGATTTCTACTCTCTCTGTAGACAAGCGCTAAAGCGGCGTTTGGCTAAAGGTACAGACTCCCCATTTAATAGTATAATGTCATCCAGGTACTTTAATTTTAAGTCGAAAAAAAAATATTTATTGATTTTAGCTTATTCCCACAACTGTTGCTTTGTGAGCTCTCAGAGATCTCGCCACCTCAACTAAATATCTGACTAACATAGCACAAACCAAAAATCATTGAAAAAAAATTTTCAAATTCATTTTCACAGTACATTGAACCCTTTCAAAACAGGTAATACTTTACGCTAGTAATGAGATAATGGTTCTGAGCCAGCCTCCCCGTAATTGGGCAGTGGTTTACTTAGGCACAACACGGCGTTTACTTGTTAAACATTCAATTAGCCATTTGCCTAGAGCTCATTCTAGTTTAACTTGAAGATAGGTTAACATTAAGTACTATATACGAGTATATACCAAACTATGACAAACCAGTATAAACTGACCGTTGATTGTACGGGAAGATAATACAAAGCGGGGTCATGTTAACTGGATGTGTCATCAACTGCTTATAAGCTGCTGAGCAAAGTCTCTTCTCACATGGAGAAGGTTTGAGCATTAATCACCACGCTTGTTCAATGCGGGTTGGCGATTTCAAACTTATAATTAGAAATTATAAGCCCAGGTTTGCTCACGATGTTTTCCTTCACCGTTTGTCAGCGGTGTCTAAATAATCTTAGAAAGTACATATGTTTAACTCGGAAAAAGTCACATTGGGACTTGCCGGTGGTAGGTTTCGAACCTGCACCCTCGTGCATAGAAGCAGGCGTCTTCAACCTCCGGGCCACCACGACTCCATGGATGTGTGTATGTGTGCGTATGTACATACTTACTAAACATGAGACCATGGTCTCGAGTCGGCTTATAATAGTATCACAATGATCCATCATTGATTTCAAAATTGTTGATTTTGACAAGTTTGATAATCTGCTATTGTAATGGTGTCGGTATGACTTTCCAATGGTCAACCACAGACATACCATTGAAAGTAGAGTAATGACAGATACTTCAGATTGCATATAACACCAATAGATGTTTTGTACAATAAATTATAGATAACATCTGGCACGGATAAATGTTCAAATTTAGTAGTAGGTACCTACCTAGTTTTTCGAAAACTATTTCTATTATAAATTTTATAATAACGGCAATACGGCAATGTCATTCTACTACAATTCCATTACGAGACCATTGACCGACCAATGATCGACTATAATGAATTTAGCAGTTTATGCACTTTTAGCAAAATGACAATGCGATCGTGTTGGGATGACAAAAATTATAAAAATAGTAGACTTGAAGCCCTGGTCTATCATCCCATGTTAAGTAAGTGGTAGATATAATCATTTTTTGTAAGTTCAAGTAAGAGGTAGTTATAATAGGTCCAAATGAAACATGTTTAAACTTGAGACTATTTCTTATGCATTGATACTTTCAGTAGGCTAGTTGGAAGCGATTCTCTTAGCCGTATTATGGATACAAAACTTATCTACTTAACCGACTAGTTTTAAAAATTATATGACAAGAGCATGAACCAAAGCATCCGTGGAGAACTAATTTGAATATTAAAAAAATTACTAGCCTTTTATCTAATAAACTTCATCTGATTTCGACCAATTTAACTTGTTATACGACATGACAGTCACCAGGGACTGGTGTTAGTATAGAATTTGCCTTCTAAACAGTTTTCTTTTGGCAGACAAAGTTTATTACATAACATAACATTACGCCTTTTATCCTCGAAGGGGTAGGCAGAGGTGCACACAGAAGTAACACCCACTTTTCACTATTTATGTTTTGAGTCCCATGTAATAGGGAGTGAGCCTATTGCCATATGCACATTTCCAGACTCCGTGCTACTACTGACATTTTTGAAAAACCTAGTAATACTTTGCCCGACCCGGGAATCGAACCCGAGACTCCTTGCCCAGTCGCACTTGCGACAAGTCAGCCAACGAGGCAAGCACCAAGTTTATGTTAATATTGATTTCGTAAATAAAAACATGAATAGATTAAAAAGCATATTCTTATATGTTTTTGAGTACTCATTAATACCGATTTTCAAGTTATTAAATGTAATACCTAGATTATAATTTCATAATTGTGGTATAATATTAATTATTAAATCTTTTGAAGCTCATTCATATTACAAACAGTACCTATTTAATTAGTTTTTCAAACAAATTAATTAGTATATTAATTAAGACTCAATATGTTTCGTAATTACACACATTTCTGTGCTGAGGCATTTAATCTATTTTAGTGTTTACGTCAATATACAAGAAAATGCCTCCATTTTAGATATTTCGATGTTCGTCTTTGTCAATATGGTACAGAGTGACAGAAATAGAATTATTAACTCATGTTTAGCGTTAATTATGTTACATTTAAATAATTTCCGAGCTTCCATTGTTAGCTGTGCGATAATTTGTAATTTAATAATCCTGTCCGTTAATTAATACTAGCTGAGCCCGCGACTTTGTCCGCGTGGAATAGTGATTCACAGCTCCTCCCTCGTGGTTGATAAAATGATAATATGTAGCCTATGT